CATGTTTGATCAATTTCAGATTGAAGAAGTTGGTAGAATTCTTCTATTTCATCCTCACTGGCTTTAATGGTTGGTGCGTAAATTTGAATAATAGTGGTATTAGCTGGGCTTCCCTGTAGGCACATGGATATTATCCTATCATAGATGGCATTGTACCTCTTGACTAATCTGGATATGTTCTTTTCAATAATAAGTGCAACACCATTCCTCTTCAATTTGTCATTCCCAGCATAGTAAAACATGTGGTCATCAGATTCAAAATGGCCAATACCAGCCCATTTCCATACCTTACCCCAATGCCTGATATCTATACTTATGCATTCCATTCCATTTTTGACAGCTTCCAATTTTCCCAGATTCATACTTCGTACATTCCATGTTCCAATGATTAATGGATGTTTACAGCTGTGTTCTCTTCATTTTGAGTTGTGCTCCATCAGCAAATGAAGGTCTTGCAGGCTTTTCACCCATGGGCTTTACTCCATTCGCATCATCACTGTCAGCTCTATTTTGACAGTCGCATTTTGAGTGCCTTCCAACCTGATGGGCTCATTTTCCAGCACTATATCTGACAGTGTTTCTCTGCTATTCATAAGGTTTTCAGTGACTAAATATTTGTTTGTAGTTCGTCACTCTTTCTTCCTATTCTTTCTTTGTCTGGAAGCTCATCTGAAACCTGTCCACCATGGGTGACCCTACTGGTATTTAAAATACCAGTGGCATAGCTTTCGGAATCACAGTAACTCAAAAGCCACCACTGTACGGCAAACTGACAGACGAGTGGTGGCCGCTTGGACCAATACTAGAAGGAAGGTGAATTTTTCTTCTAAAAAATCGTTACTGGTAGAACACCCACACTTGCAGATAATACCCACTTGACCTGGCTTCAATGACTGGAAGATCAGAGCTCAACTAGAAGAAGAAAGAAGAGGAAAAAGAGTTGATCTGATACAATTTGATGAACTTGACCTATACCTATGGATGCAGTAGCTCAGAAGAGGGAACAAATCTTTACAGCAAGGATCATTCCCACCCCCTCCATACACAGAGTAGATAGGGATGGGCTACTTGGACATTGGCTACCCAAAAGGGGGGGTGGGGCTACAAAGGCAAGAAGTGACTGGCTTATAAGCTTTCAAGAGGGAACCTAGATCCAGAGGGCGTGGAAGAAGGTAGAATCTCCACTGGGTTATCCAATCTGTCTGGCCAGGGCTGATGAGATGCGGCTAGGTCTCTTGTGATAAAATAGTGAATAATTGTTATCAGGACTGATTGTGTGGGTTGGAAATGTAAAGGTAGATGTTTTGTAGCAAAGGAGGGGAGTGATTAATTTTGCAGTCTAGGAGCGGTGGTCCCTGGGACCATGAAGAGAAGAGTGGAGAGCAGGACCCTACCCAGAGAAGCAGTGACGCCAGAGATGGAGGCAGAGATGAAGTGGCTGGAGACTTTAGAACCAGAGAGGGAGAGGGGCTGTGTGCTGATGACCGGGGGGAAGGCTTGCAGGGTGTACCCTTTGGTTGTTTGATGATGCATGGATGGGATTGTAACCATGGCAATGAAACCATATGCAATAGGATGAATTTAAAACTAATGTTTTTCCATGTAAACATCACATAATTCACAATAAAACATTTTTAAAATAATAATAATTGTTAGTGGTAACGAGACAGATTCATCACTACGAGCCTGAGAGTAAACGACAGGGTATGGAATGGAAACATCTTCAATCACCAACCCAGAACAGGTAAAAGTCAACCATCAGCTGGAAAATTGATGCTTAGTTTTCTAGGACTCTCAAGGGCCACTGTTGGAACACTATCAGGAAAAAGTTCAACAATCAACAGTGATTGTTACAGTGAGATGCTTACTGAAGAGCTGAAGCTTAAATTTCATATTAAATGCCTAGAGCTCCTATCCAAGAGCATTGTGATCTTAAATGACAATGCATATCCACACACCTCTGCCCACACTGTTGAGATTGCAAAAACTTCATTTTGAGGAAAGCACCCTCCCTAGAGTCCTGATCACGCTCTATCAGACTTTCACCTATTTGGTCCCCTGAAAGCAGCCTTTTGAGGGTAAAGATTCACCTCGAAGATAAAGATGTGAAGACCTCAGTACATTTGTGACTCGCAGCTCAGCCTAAAACATTTTTTAATAAGGGAATACGAAAGCTTGTTGACAGGTAGACAAAGTGTATTGAAAGCAAGGAGATAATGTCGAAAAATGATGTATTTGTCTTCTGAAAGTCAATTAAAATTCTCCAATCAGAATGCAGGTAATTGACTCATATGTCAATCCTGTCTAGGAGTGCTGTGTTTTTATTCTTGTATATTATGTAGTAGTGCTTCATTGGTTCAAGTCATCTGTCTATATTTCTTAGAATCTTTAAAGTATCAAAGCCATGCTGTGTTCCACATAGGAGCTCAAGTGGGAAGGCTGTCCTTTTTGCCAAATATCACACTGCCATTTGGTAGGAAAAGTCTGCAAGTGGTCCATTTGAAAACCAGGACACTACTTTTTTCTCTGTCCTTTCCCTATAAAATATTTTTTTACCTTTCCTACTTTTTCTTGTGTAAATCATTTCATAATTGCTGGCCTTTACCATTTGATCAGACCTTTCTGAACCTCAATTTAGGCTTTGGCTAAATTGTAAGTATGTAGCTAATATACTTAAAAGGTTAAGTCATTTTTAATTCTTTTAAAAATGTATTTATTTTCTACAATAATAAAATGAGAGGAGCAAAGCTCCCATGTGAATGGTTCTTCTATTGCAGTTACAGTTAAGTTTTGGTTGTGAGGATATAAGTAGAGCAGAACTCGAAATGAAAACAGATGTATTTATCAGAAAGTCACATTATTTTTACCCTTTTTGTATATATTGAGCTCATAAATTTCCCATATCTGTACATTATATAATTTTAAGCATAAATCATCCTAAGAGCCTTATACTCAAAAAGGGGGTCAAAGCATTTTTATGAATGATAATGGTTATAGGAAATGTTTATTTCTTTTTTGTTTGTTTATAGTAAATCTGATATGTCTCGCTTGCGATTAGCTGCTGGTAGTGCCATAATGAAGCTTGCGCAGGAACCTTGTTACCATGAAATTATTACCCCAGAACAGTTTCAGCTCTGTGCACTTGTTATTAACGTAAGTCACAATATCATTTTTGTGTTAGCCTTCAAAGTTGCATATGTTTACAGTAAACCCTAAAAAGGACTGATCTTATTTTTATTTTAACTAAATATCTACCAAATATTGTTTATTCACCCAGTATATTTTTAAGTACATATTCAAAATGTTTTCATTCTTTTTATAAATGTTGTTTGTCAACTTAAGTTATTTTAACTATATTTTCTTTTTCAGCTTTGAAAGTAACTGGTATTTTCTTGTGTTTTTCAAGTATTTTTATGGTTTTGTGCTACTGTAGGATGAGTGCTACCAAGTAAGGCAGATATTTGCTCAGAAGTTACATAAGGCACTTGTGAAGTTACTGCTCCCATTGGAGTACATGGCGATCTTTGCCTTGTGTGCCAAAGACCCTGTAAAGGAGCGGAGAGCACATGCACGACAGTGTTTGCTAAAAAACATAAGTATACGGAGGGAGTACATTAAACAGAACCCAATCGCTACTGGTAAGTACGCTTTTCAGTTCCCAATTTGTAAATAATCTTATGAGTCTGTCAGTTTGTGAAATTTTTATATTCATCTACCTGTATTTTACTTTTATAATATGACTGTTTTAGCTATGACATAGCTGTCATTTTAGCTATGTACATCCTGGTTTCTGAATCTTACTTATAATACATAAAACTAATTTGAATTCTTATTAGAATATCAACAGTGTGCCTTGATTTGAATTCATTGCTTTAATAGTCTTCAAAATGGAAACTGAGTTGGTTGGAACTTAAAGATAAAGGGTTGTGTGTTTGTTTTTATAAAAGTTATTATTGTTAATGTTTTCATTTTAGAGAAATTACTATCACTGTTGCCTGAATATGTAGTTCCATATATGATTCACCTGCTTGCCCATGATCCAGATTTTACAAGGTCCCAAGATGTTGATCAGCTTCGTGATATCAAAGAGTAAGTCATGTTGTTTTTCTTTACCAAGAATTATGAAGATTTATACTTTAAAAAAAACTAAAACTATATCCTGTTATTATTCCCATTAGAATAAAAACCTTTTAATTACTCAGAATAGGTTTGGTTAATTTTTTATATGATGTTGTTTTTAAGGTATTTGTTCAGTTTGGTCATTTAGAAAACCATGTAGTAAAAAATTCTCTACTTGAAACTAAACTTTACTTGCAACCTTTAAAATATATGTGAAAATATGTGCACACATATTATTATAAAATTAGATTTGTTATACCAGATGTATGGGGAGATGTAGATACACAGGGAAATTTGCCTCTAGTGGAAAGACGGACCAGAAAACACTCATGAAGTTTGTATATGATATCATGCAGGGCAAAAGAGTGGAAGGAGGCCTAGACTTGCCTACAAATAAATTATCTGTTTTTAAAAAAATCTTAAACAATATTGACTTTCTTTCCCCATTGTTATGCTTTTACTTTGCACTCTTAAACTGATTCAGCTTTTGTTTAAAGTATGTGTGTATTAAACCTATTCCTAATGTTATTTAGGAGCTCTGGTAGCGTAGTGGTTACGAATTGGGCTGCGAACCTTAAGGTCAGCAGTTCGAAACTACCAGCTGCTCCGCGGGAGAAAGATGAGGCTTTCTACTCCCGTAAAGATTTACACCCTCGGAAACCCTGTACAGGGTCGCTATGGGTCGGAACCGACTCGACGGCACTTAACAACAACAATGTTATTTAAGGTCCTAGTCAACATTTTTATTTGTTTTTTCACACTCGTCCATATTATGGGGTTCCAATTGTGTTTTAATCTTCTGTTTGAAGGAAAAGAGACAACATCCAAAGACATCACATATTAAGACTTTATCAGTGGCTCGTGGCGGTTGTAACAGACAGAAACATGGAGACGCAGGTAGCAGGAGACTGATTTGTGTAATGAACAGACTCAGTGTGGGGACATGGAAACTGACCTTCCCTAACCTCTACAGAGGAATGGATACTAAACTTAAAGAAAATGCCTTTCCTATCAAAATATTTGAAAAGAACATTTTGATCTTAAGGCCACCTGTGTTCAAATCGATCCATATTAAGCAAGCAATATCAGTTTGATTAGCAAATTTTATTTCAACTAATTGAGTCATCTAAGGATGACTTGGGAGCACTGCGGTTTTGTAGGATAGGAACTAGACTGAAGTAAATATTTTTGTATTTTAAAATTGACTTAAAGACATACATGATTAGATATATATTTCAAGAAGTCACATAATTAGATTTCAGAGGATATAGGTTCTAGCCCCAGCTATGTGACAACTTTATTTTTGTAGACTTCAATTGGCCTTATCTGTAAAATGGATACTTTAAAAATTGTTAAGTCTTAAAATGTCTTCCAATTCAAATTTTTACTATTTTACTTCTAAAAATAATTTTTGTTATAGGAATTTTTCAGAAAGTGATGATTATGTTTAACTAGAAAACAGAGTTTATAGTAGAAGACTTCTTGTTGCTGTTATGTGCTGTGGAGTCGGTTCCACCTTATAGTGACCCTGTACAGGGTTTCCAAGGCTGTAAATGTTTACGGGAGCAGAAAGCCTTATCTTTCTCCCGCGGAGCAGCTGGTAGTTTCAAACTGCTGGCCGTGAGAGTCACAGCCCGTGTAGAGGAAGGATTAACCCTTAAGAGGTAGTTATAATGTGGGGCTAGTACTACAGTACATGAAGTAATTGAAGTTGAAATTAAAATCAATGGTTCATCACATTTGATTTCATTTCCTTGATTTCAGTGGTAAACAACTAGTGATTTATTTTTGTTCTATCTAGTGTGCAGCACTTGAGTTTCTTTACACCTTCAGTTCAAGTGATCATGTCATTTGAAGTGTTACATAAAATACTTTTAAAAGTTGGTCATTTAACTCTATAGTGATTAATAACTTATAACTACACTGTGAGGAGTCCTGGTATGGCACTGTTGGTTAATGCACTGGACTGCAAGGTCACTTTGAACCTCAAGATCAGTGATTCAAGCTCACCAGCTGTTCCTTGGAAACCCTATACAAGGTCACTATGAGTCGGAACCGACTCGATGGCACTTAACAACAGCATAGACATCGTACCCACTCCCATAAACATATGCAATCGAGTGAAGGATACAGAACAGTGATGAAGCAATTATAATACATAGTGTGATGTGTGCTCTGCTGCTGTAGTAACAGGAGTCCTGATGTGGTGCTGTAGGATAAGCACTGGATTGCTAAACTCAAGGTTGAGGGTCAAGCCCACCAGTCGCTTCCTGGAAATCCTGTACAGGGTCTCTATGATTCAGTACTGACTTGACAGTACTTAATAACTATGTGAACACCTAGAAAAGACACATGAGGTTTCTAATCACATTTAAAATAGTAGAAAGATATTAGAACAGAAGTTCTTACCATGTAGATTATGGGCAAATCACTAAGGAACAAGATTTGCTGGAAAGAGATAGAAAAGATCATTTTAAAAGGACCTGAGGAGGACTGTCTCAGTGGTAAATGAAAAAGCCATACAGTGTTATAAAAAGGAAGAAATGGTCAGTTACTGTCAAGTATTTTATTGAGTGTTTTTTGTGCGTCAGGTATTCTACAAATATTATTTAATCCCCCATACAATTTCTGGAAGTAATCACCATTGTTTCAGTTTTACAAATGAAGATATGACCAAGGGTAAGGTTACACCTCTAGTAAATGCCCTTTGAATTTAGTATCAAAGCAATTACTGTAACTTATTGAGGAGTGCCCTTGAGTCGATTGCGACTCATAGGACCCTGTACAAGGGTTTCCAGTGAGCAGCTGATGGGTCTGAACTGCGGACCACGTGGTTCAAAGTCCAGGGCATGTCCTACAACACCACACCAGGAGTAACAGGGGTGAAAGCTTAATTGCCATGTGATAATAATGTAGACTACTTTTAAAAGAGACTGTTGTAAAGACAGAAATAGAAGGTCTCCAGAAAGGAGCCAGAAGATGGGGGTGTAGTTGCAAATGAAAGAAAGAACAGTGGTAGTAAAGTAAGGTGAAATCTACAAGAGGAGGAATGGATGGAATCTTAAAGATACATAAAGTGAGGAGAAGAAAACAACTGCTGTGAAAAACTAGATCAAGTCCCTAGCTAAGGACACATATGGAATCCTGATGTCCGCTGTAGGATAAGCACTCGACCACAAGATCAGCTTGAACCACAGGGTTGGCAATTCAAGCTCACCAGCCGCTTCTCAGAAACAGGGTCGCTGAGTCAGAACTGACTTTTCATGGCACTTAGCAACAGAGACACGTAGTATAGCTGGCTGGCATGAAATGCAGGATAAAACTCTTAAGTTTATAATCGCATCAGACTTTTCAGTTGTGTGATTTCTCTGTAGCAATAAACATTCTGGATGTAACTACCAAAAAGTTTGAATTGATCTAGTTATTAATTTTTCAAAGTAAGTATACCAGAAAATTAGTTCGAAAGTTGAAACTATTTTCAAAAGAATGGTTAAAATATTGACTCGTGGAATGTACAATAGAAAGGAAATGGGCTGGATAGGTAAGATGTTAGTGGATACAGTTGTGTAAGTACCTAAGGAAGGTGGAATATATAGATTTATTATTTCACTGGTGCATCATTTCAAGGAATGGCAAGGTCCAGGAATGTCTGAGGGAATAGAGTCCCGTAAGTAAATGGGATAAAGGTAAATTTCAGCAGGCATGAAAAGATCAACAATTTAGAAAGTATCATGAGTGGCAGATAGAAGACATAGCCATATAACATAAGCTTCTTAGGAATAATTTTACACAAATTTTGGGAAATAATTTACTGGCATGAATATTGAAGAAAACAGGCTGAATTCACTTTCAGACCCTAGTATGAGCTTGAAAGGTAAGCAAGACAAGTGTCATTCTCAGATGAGAACTTCATTTCTGTTACAGCAAGAAAGTGAAGTGACCATTCAGAGAGCACAGTGAAAGGGTTTGGGAAAAGAGTCAACCCTGTTAGATAAGACAAGAAGTACAGTGTTGTTACTTCAGTTTCTTCAGTTGGAATCGTTCAAATTAGCTAATTATTCATTATTATTAGTTTTCTTTTCCCTCCAGGATCCCAGCATCTGTCTAGTTTCTAAATAGAGTTAATACTTTGCCAGAATTAGTAAGCATTGAAACTACCAGTTTTCATTTAAACAATTACGCTAAAAACATAGTGCTAAAGTTTCTCCCTTGGCTTAATGTCTTGATACAAGGGGGCTTCCAAAATTTTGTGGAGAATTTCCACTGTCTTTTCATTCCATTCCATGAACTTTTTGAAATCCCCTTGTACATTCACATGGAATATAGGCAAGGGACTTCCCATGGAGTATCATCAAATAATTTCTTCCATATTTATTCAGTAAAGCAGTGATTTTGTTGTTGGTTTTTTGTTTTGTCACTGAGTGCCTAAGAATTATTCGGGAAGCTTATTAAAAGCATAAATTTCCAGGTTCTCCCCCATAGAGTTATCGATTTAAGTGCCCCAAGTGATTCTAAGGTTCAGTCTGATTTGGTATCCACTTTTACATAAAAATTCAAATGGCCATTTTAGACACTTTATGAATGAATTCGATGAGTGTACAACACGTGGAAAACCGCAAAACTGGTTTGGGATAAGACCGCTTAGATGAGTGCTAGAATACATACAGTGAGAGACTTATGTACATCAGGAAACAGAGCTGTGTTTTCATTTTTAATATTTTATTTTGTGTTTTCATTTTCTACTTGTATCTAATATAAGCAGGATAATGTGTCTGTCACAATTTAGGATTTTCCTAATGATCTACTTTGATTTTATTAAAGCTAAACAACAGAGTTACTAACAAGGTGTATTTCTCCACTAAGCAAAAGGACCTATATCTAGTCTTTTGAATGGATGGATCTGTTTACCACTTAGGTGCCTGTGGTTTATGCTTGAAGTTTTAATGACAAAGAATGAAAACAATAGCCATGCCTTTATGAAAAAGATGGCAGAGAACATCAAGTTGACCAGAGATGCCCAGTCTCCAGATGAATCCAAGACAAATGAAGTAAGAAGTTAGGATAGTATGTAGTAAGATGTTACAAAAAAATGATCTAATGAACTTTTAATAAGAGTTATTGATAAGTAGTTATTCTATTTGGTTTTGTTTGGGCTTTGTTTTCTTTTTTGTTTAGTGCATATTTGATATTCATGTTTTATTAGGGTAGAGGGCAGTTTTGTTTACCATTTCTGAGAAGAAATCCTGAACACAAATATTAAATAATCAAGGAATAAATTACCACATATCTTTGTTGTGACTCTACTTATATTTAGTACTTTTGGTTATTTTACACTAATGAACATTATATATGATCTTTCTTTTTTTCTCCCTAGAAACTTTATACAGTATGTGATGTGGCTCTGTGTGTTATAAATAGTAAAAGTGCTCTGTGTAATGCAGATTCACCAAAGGATCCAGTACTCCCAATGAAATTTTTTACGCAACCTGAAAAGGTAATTTCCCCTTGTTTGTCTACCACACTAAACTGACTTAAGTTTCAGTTAACATCAACCAAAAGGCAAATACTGGATTGCCATACCACAGAGTAAATCATAACTTAGTGAGTTTATCATGAAATAGAAGATTGTCCTCCAAAGCCTCACAAGACATTGTTCTCATCATACAAAGTAGAGACTATAAGTCAAGCTTTGTGATTCAAAGTAGACTAAATCTTTGTTATTCTTTGCCTGAATTACTTTACTGGGTGTTTCTAATATATAAAAGAAGTTTTTGTACTTCTTAATTTATTTTAATGTCGTTGAAACACTGTTAGTGTTTTTGTAGGCAAAACATGCACATTGAATGTTTCTATAAATAAATATGTAATTATATATTAAGATGTCAGCATTGATTGAATTGGGCTTGACAGTTGATAAGCCGGGATTCTAATCAACCTCTTACAGCTAGAGGCACTTTAGGAGAGTTAATCATTTTTTAAAACCATCACTACTGTCCATTTCCAAATTAACAGAAACTCAGTGCCCCCTAAACACAGACTACCCTTACCCCCTTTCGCACCACTGACAACTACCAATAAACTTTGGTCTCTAAACATTTGCCTATTTCATGTAAGTGGGTTCACAATATTTGTCCCTTTATAACTGACCTTCTACACTCAGCATAAGGAGCTCTATCTAGTAGCATAGTGGTTATGAGTTGGGCTGCTAACCTCAAGGTCAGTTTGAAACTGCCAGCTGTTCTGCTGGAGAAAGATGAGGCTTTGTGCTCCCATAAAGGTTTTTTGTTTTTTGTTTTTTTTTTAATGTTTTATTGTGAATTATGTGATCGTTTACATGGGAGAACATTAGTTTTACATTCATTCTATTGTATATTGTTTCATTGCCATGGTTACAATCCCCTCCATGCATCATCAACCAACCAAAGGGTATACCCTACAAGCCTGCACCACGGTCCGTCAGCACACTGCCCCTCTCCCTCTCTGTGTCTAAAGTCCCCAGCTGCTCCATCTCTCTATGTCATCGTCTCTGCCTCCATCTTTGGTGTTACTGTTTCTCTGGGTAGGGTTCTGCACTCTGCTCTTCTCCTTTGCTGGTCCCAGGGACCTCCGCTCCTGAACTGCAAAGTTACTCATTCCCCTCCTTTTTTTTTTTTTTTTTTTTTTAAATTAAATGTTTTTATTTTGGATTGAGTGAAAGTTTACAGGGCACATCATCTGCTTCACATTCAACCATTCATATAGCTTGTTTCATTACATTGATTATTATCCCCTCCATATATCATCAGTTTACAGTGTTTCTCTCTATCCTCTTTAGCTTATTTTTTTTTTGGCTGCGGGGGGACTTGCCTTTTTGGAATTTACAGTCTCGGCTTTTAGGGAAGGTTTTTACATTTGTCTGTGGATATCCAGGGCTCATGTATGAGATTACTAACAAGCATTACTGAATAATCAGATGAGGGAGCTCCCATAAAGATTTATAGCCTCAGAAACCCTATACAGGGTTGCTATGAGTTGGAATTGATTCCACTGCACACCACCACACTCAGAATAACACTTTCAAGATCCATTCATGCTGCCAAATATTTTTAACTAGAAAAATTTTCCATGTTTTCATACATATATATGCCTCATTTCTAACAAGCTCCCTGGATTACCCTATAAAAGAACATTCCAGGAAATGGATCTTGCTACTTTGAGAAAAAATTTTGCTGTCTGACTTTTTGGGGAATAGTAAGAATTACAAGTCTTTACTTTCTAATTTAATAATCTTTCTAAATATTCCCAGTTGGACTCTTGATTTTCAATTTACTCTGTTTCTCATGGTTGATAGGGACAGGCAACTTAGACATTGGCTATCCTAAAAGGAAGGGACGGGGGGGTGGCTATAAAGGCACAAAGTGACTGGCTTACAAATTTTCAAGAGAGAATTTAGTTTCAGAGCGAGAGGAGGAAGGTAGACTCACCACTGAATAGTTTTCATAAATGATTATATATTTTAAAAAAATTTTTTTTTACTCTATTTCTGATTCATCACCATCATGAATGGCAACCTGTTAGTTGCCATCAGGTCAGTATTAACTCATAGCCATCTTATGCACAGAACGAAACATCATCTGGTTCTGGGCCAATTGCTGTGCTTGAGCCCATTGCTACTGCCATTCTATTTCATTGAGGGTCTTCCTCTTTTTCACTGACACTCCACTTTTCCCAGCATGATGTCCTTCTCTAGGGACTGATCCCTTCTGATAATATGTATGAAGTATGAGAGACAAAGTGTGGCCATCTTGTCTTCTAAGGAGCATTCTGGCTTTATTCCTTCCAACACAGATTTGAATAGACTAGTACCCAGATGCCATCATTAATAATTAAATCTTATATCACTCCACCTAAATGGCTTTGTGTGTGTGTGTGTGTGTGTGTGTGTGGTTTGTTTTGATATCTGAAACTAGTGTTTTAATTTGTTAGCAGTAATTTAGGTTTTTCTGATTTCAATGTGTAACTTTCCTCATTTTTCATTTCTAATATAATGTCTCACTGTAGGATCAGCACTGAACTGCAAGCCACAAGGTGAGCAGTTCAAACCCACCAGCTGCTCCTGAGAAACCCAATGCAAAGCCACTAGTCGGAACTGAATTGGTGACACTTAACAACAACATATTTGTTGCTGTATATGTAATTTAATCTGCTGCATATACACTAGAAAACTTGGTTTGATAAGGTAGTGAGTAAATGTTGCTGCCCAAACCTAGTAACATTTATTTTAGCACATGTGCTAAAACTGTACACTAGCTTTGATTTCATTTTTTCTTAATTTAAATATATATATATGAAATTAATAAATATTTTTAAGTTAATGGACTTTTTTATTCTAGTACCTTTTTTTTTTTTTTGCCCCAGTGACACTGTTTAGGTTTGTTGACTTTTTTTGGTCAGGGTGTTTAATAGGAAGTGGCACAGTGGATCAAATTTGAACTCTTAACAATTTATAAAGATTCTGCTTTCAAGAAAATAATATCAATGTCCCCATTCTGTTTTACTTATTTATTTATTGGTTAATATCATTTCTGGTAAAGGAATAAACAGAAAATCATTCACCCTATACCTTACAAAAAAAGAATAGGAATGTGATTTCATTTCAAATGCAATTTAAGAACTTTGTCTCTGCCATTTGCCTAAGTCTTGTGTACCACTGATTTCATTGAAAACTAGACATACAATGTAGTTTATGAAATATGCTTTGATTATTTGCTGAATTGATATGTATGGGGGGTATCCAAAACTTAATGAAAAAATTCCACATTATCTTTTAATTTCTTTTTTTTTTTAACCACAAACTTTTTGAGGGCTCTCTGCCCCCATATATTGTTTATTGTTGCTAAGTGTCATCGAGTCGATTCAGACTCATAGCAACCCTGTACACGGTTTCCAAGGAGCAGGTGGTGGACTTGAACCACTGACTTTGTTCACAATCCAGTGCTTATCCTACAGTGCCACACCAGGAGGTCCCCCTCATTTTCTACTAGTGCAAATGTGATTGTTAATGTAAGGCACAATGTCTGCAGGTTCTCTTTAGTTACAGTGTTGTTAAGTGCTATTGCCAAGCTCTAACTCATAGCAACCATGTTTCCAAGGAACAACTGGTAGATTTGAACTACCCTTCTTGGAGCGCTTATCCTGCATCACTACACCAGGACTCCTATTTGTTGTTAAGTGCGTGGAGTCAGTTCCAACTCCCAGCAACTCTGTATAGGGTTTCTGAGGAGTGTCTGATAAGTTTTAACCACCGACCTTGGGATTCAAACCAACCTTACCATCCAGTACGTATCCTCAGCACCACACCAGGACTCATGTGTTCACTTTAATTAATGTTTCGTTTTTTTTTTCCCCATAGGATTTCTGTAATGACAAGAGTTATATTACAGAAGAGACGAGAGTACTTTTGTTAACAGGAAAGGTATTATGTACTCAATAATTTAGGAGTCTTTATTTTGTATGTATATTACATCTGCTATTCTTAGAAATAATTTATATGTGTCTGCCAAAATTTATACTTCCTGGGTTTTAGAGATCACATTTTATATTACTGCTCTAAAACAACTGTTTCTTGCCATGAAGCACTCTTTAAGAATTGCGCCCACACGTTCTCATCAGTAATGATAGACTTCAAGTTATTTAGAATCCACAAAGTAGGTTTCCTTGAGAAATGGTATAATCAACTAAGATGTCTAAGAGAAAGAAAAGAAATATTTTGGTAAACAATTTCAAAACTATTAGTACGTATATTGAATAGTTTGCTTATAAGGAAGGCATTTTACTGCGTGTTTCACTATTTTAGGATTACTGTTTTGTTTTCATTGGAATAATAGATATTTCCTAGTTTAATAGAAGTAATGTAAAGTTTTAGCTGTATATCAAGACAAACACAATTTTGTAGAACTGTCATTTCTAATAATGAGATAATCCCTTGGGTTAGGCTAAATAGCTCTTACATGTGTTTAAATTTGTATGTATGCGTTGTAATAAGGTATTAAATAACATGTATGTGTGTAATTTTTAGCCAAAACCTGCTGGAGTGCTAGGTGCTGTAAACAAGCCTTTATCAGCAACGGGAAGGAAACCATATGTTAGAAGCACTGGAGCTGAGACTGGAAGCAATAACAATGTAAATTCAGACCTGAATGCTGCAACTGGAAATCGATCAAGGCAATATATTTTTTCTCCAGTTACTTTATTACTATCTTTCAGTTGGTTCATTTTTTCATCTGTGTTCTTAAAGCATTCTTTCACAAATGGACCTCCAGCTTTAGAAAGTGTCTTGGTACAAGGTAATACTGCTGAATTGTGATGTCATCATGAGGGAAAACTGGCAGTAAGCTATACATTTTGCAACAATATAACATTCTAAGTATAGGGAAAAAAAATTTTTTTAATTTTTTTTCTCACCAGAACTACTTTGCATTAAAATGTGTATTATAAAATCAAACACATTGCAATTGAGTCAGTTCTGACATACGGTGATCTCATGTGTTGCAAAGTAAAACTGCTTCATAAGGTTTTCTTGACAGAAGTTGATCACCAGTCCTTTCTTCCATGGTGCCATTGGGTGGGTTAGAACTGCCAACTTTAGGTTATCAGCTGATCACAAAGTGTTAGAAAACCAAAAGGGAAGGACATGCTCAGCATTTCTCAAGATGGAAAAACTGAATAAAAAAATCTAGCTTTATTTTGCAAAATATTGATGTAGAAAGCATCAAAAGAAAATGGAAGGTATATGTATAAGCAAATTGTTCCCTGGGGAGCCATCAAGGCAAGCAATCAAGTCCCTTCAGAACAAGACTGAAACTCAAAGGGAACATTCATAAGCAGGCATGTAAGCTTGCAGGCAAGCACATTGGTCTACTGGTAAGTGGAAGGAGGGGTAAAGGCAGCAATGAAGAAATGGGCTGAGTTCA